CACTGGGGCAGAGCCCCAAGGGAATTTACAACGTTTCTCTTTTGATGGCTCATCTACAGACCAAGACCTTTCTTTAGAGACCCCTACCGAGTTTCTACGCCCAGCCGTTCTCACAAATTAGCTGTCACAAAGAAAAACAGTTTCAAATTAATATATAGATTAAGACAGAGACATTTGGAAAATCTAAGGTTTATTTGAGTTTCTTTTCGTATAATCTCAGAGTAATAAAACAAAATTTTGTTTTATTACTCTGTGGTATAATTATGTATTAGATTGAATGTGTGGCCTACCCCCACCTACTAACTATAAATATATCAATCTATTTAATTTATTATTTACTTTATAGAATACTAAATAAAAAACAAATGCATTTATTAACAAACACCTTTATATCTGCAATCAGATTGTTTATATATATTTTTAATGTTTGTTTGTATAAAGAATCTCTTGGGAGCATAACCTGTACCTCTTAACCTCTGCTCTTCGAACTGTCAAATTTAAGTATTTACAGCTGACTTAAATTAATTGATTTATTTACATTCTTTCAAAATGTAAACATGGAAAATTTGGAAGCCTATGGGGCGTAGCCCAAGGGAAATATGAAAATTAAATGATATAATATTGCATTGTCATCCATTTGTGAGTTATGTTTCAAATTTCAAGTCTCTAGCTCATCGGGAACTTAGTTTAAAATTGATATCAAAATTTGTAGGAGAGCGACTAGCGAGCTAATAAAAACAAGCCCATGGGGCGTAGCCCAAGGGAAATATGAAAATTAAATGATATAATACTGCATTGTCATCCATTTGTGCTCTATGTTTCAAGTTTCAAGTCTCTTTGTTCAGTGGCGTCATTAAATGTTTTTGTATTATTTTTATATGGTAGCCCTTTTGGTTACAAATTTGAACTGATTGACATCAGTTTGGATTATGATTTAAAATAGACTAGCTGTTTTAATTCTTTCTCCATAAGAATAACATAGGAATTTTAAATTTACAGTTTTTTGAATTTTCTCCGTTACCATTAGGCGCATAATAACGCTACAATGTACAAAATTATTTGTTTTTTACGCTCTACAAAATGTTTCAGAAAGAAAATGCTAAGTTTTAGGGTCAAAAAGCAGTCCGATCATGCTGGTTCGCGAACTCAATCGAATAAACGTAGGTTTACACGTTTGTACCGAATTTCATCAAAATCGGATGATTCTTGCTCGAGTTATCGTGCTAATGGACACATATATAAATCTATATATATATATATATATATATATATATATATATATATGAATTTGAACGGATTGTATTTTTGGCCTCTAGGGACCTCAAAACGAAAAAGTAAATCGGTCCCGGGTCCAGGTCTTACCATGAGTACTACGGTAATAGCTTATTCCCTATAGGGGAAATTCGCTAAAAGTAAACACGCTAGTAAGCTAGTGACGTAATTTTTCTATGTGTATTATCTATACCGTTATCCGTTCTTGTATCTGTGATAATTACCCCCACTCTCATTGAATCCATGTACATCCTTATTTCCCATATTCATTTAATCAAATTAAAAGATATTTAGTTGAAATATAAAAGTGACATTTTGTCTACATCAGCGCGCCCGAACGTAACCACACATGAACACATGTTAAACAACGTTTTAGATTTTACAAAAGGATTAAGTCTACTTGCAGTATCCTAGGTCAATGATGAAATCGTGTTTAATCTATGTCATCCATCTGTTTACCACTGAATAAAACCACAGATAATAGACCACCAATGGTAGGCTAATAACTAATGGTCTACTCTCTGTGATGAAACACGTAAAATAATTTGCATAGGCTTTTTGAATTGAAGACTCGGGGGCAGAGCTTCAATTTGTATACGGCAATGGTCTCACTTATAGTATTTATTGTCTATATCTTCTTATCTCTACTAATCCTTATATATAATCTCACTTATTTCCTATAATCTATGACTAAATTAAATAACCTCATAGTTCTATAGAATATTTTTATATCCATCCAGCTGTTAGTTCTAACAATTGCACTAAAACAAACCCAAGATTTTAAAGACTGCTCTAAAAATAAATTAGAATTTTACTAATATTATAAATCTGAAAGTTTGTGAGTTTGTGTGTGTGTTGCTCAATCACGCATTAACTACTGGACGGATTGGGTTGAAATTTGGCATGATGATAGCTCACATTCCAGATTAACATATAGGCATATTCTTATCTCAAAAGTCCTTCAGGGCTCCGCCCCAGTGGCTCTGTAGTTCCCCATGTTAACCTTATGAGTATTCATATTTAAAGAGAATTAAAGAATTTAGTCAGCTGCTTAAAAAGTTAAAAAGTTAGAAAACAGCTAATTTGAACCAAGCAGCAACAAAAAACTGTGATACGCAATGAGAACTGTCAAATTTGGATTGTTTACATTTATGTTTATGTTTTTAATTTCATGAATAATTTGTGATGTTTTGCGAATTTAATAATTTATTTTTCTCTATTATTTAGGTGAAGTAGCAGAACATTATGGATATGGTAGATGTGTAACACTGGGTAGCGTAAATTTAAAGAAGGAAATTTGATCAAACTGTGCCTCCCTCCATTGCAAACACAAAGCTTGAGTATAACTGCAATAAGCATTTATATTTATATACCAATCCCGTACGAAGGACGGGTACTCTGCTAGTTGTATATACGAGTATATGTGTCCGTAAGCACGATAGCTCGAGCAAAAATGATCCTATTTTGATGAAATTTGCTATAAACGCCGAACCAGCATGATCGGACTATGGGAACAGGGGTTTATGGGGGGTTTTATGTGGTAAAAATGGGGTTTTCTCATTTTTCACCGTGAAAACATAAAATTGTGCAACCATTTTGTAGAGCTCAAAAATATAAATATTTTGTAATTATTTAGTATATTGACGCGTTGTTTTATGCCCTACGGTTACGGAGATAATTAAAATAAATATAAAATTAAATTTTCCAATGTTATTCTTATGGAGAATAAATAAACTGTTGTAGCTTGCTTGTCTATGGACATATATTAATGAAATTTTGTTTACTTCATACTAAGCTATTAATATTTCAATAAAAACCCCTATTTTCTTCCCTGTAGCAGCAAACCTAAGTACTCATTAAAATTAATGATATTTAAATAGGAAATAAATCTGACAATTTTAAGGGAAGAATTTAGTGGAATCCCAGCCAGGTAGATGAAAACGCTTAGTCTACAGGTTTGCTGCGGCGGGGGCATTATTAATGTATATATGATGATGGATGTTTTAACAACTAAGAGATCAATTTAAATATTTTAACATTTAAGTGACTCAACGTTTACTTTATTTTTTGCGTATTTATTCAATTTAGTAACTAATTGTCTTCAATTACTACCACTATTTTTCTGTCCTGAGGTAGCTACTAATTATATTATCTTCTATCATTGACTTAGGATACTAAAACTACTTGCAGTCTATATATATATACATACATATGTATTTATATATGTCCGTTAGCACGATAACTCGAGCAAAAATGATCCGATTTTGATGAAATTTGGTAAAAACGTGTAAACCTACATTTATTCGAACGAGTTCGCGAACCAGCATAATCGGGCTATGGGAACGGAGGTTTATGGGGGGTTTTATGGGGTAAAAATAGGGTTTTCCCATTTTTGACCCTAAAAACACAAAATTTCACAATTTCTTTTCAAACCATTTTGTAGAGCGTTAAAAAACAAATAACTTAGTATATTGAAGCGTTATTGTGCGCCTAATGGTTACGGAGAAAATTCTAAAAAATTGTAATTTAAAAGTCCCATGTTATTCTTATGGAGAATATGTCAGCTGTTGTAGTTTGCTTGTTTATGAGCCTATGTTGATCGAATTTGTAAAATACATTCATTTTTTACTAAACTGTTTACATGTTTTGCAACGAAATAGTATATTTCGTACCTCGGGCCGAAAATGAGGTTTTGCCGGCTCGAGATAGTTTTTAAGTTCGAGACAAAGTCGAGAACTTAAATCGATCGAGAGCTGAAAAACCATTTCGGCCCGTGGTACGAACGCTATTTTTCACCACACTATACCCTATTACCACTATTCACCACTATAATAATGCACACTGATAGTCAACACAACTACAACTTTAAGGTTATGTAAAGAAATAATTTGAGGAATCAGCAAAAATAAAAATAAAATAGTTGCTAGGCAACGGCGACAATAACACAATTCTATTGCAATGCTATGGATTTTGATTGTGTATTTAAAATGCATACATGTTTTAAGTAAGCAAGCGGACAGCTGATTTTGCGGCCCCGGCCTGTAAAAACCTGCTCGGTCCCCAAATTTCGATGACAGCTGGCATGGCCAGCAAAACGTAACTTTCAGCCACCAATTAACGCATGTAATACAGCCAAAAACATCATAGTGTGGTGAAAAACAATTTTTTACTCTCCCTGTTGCAGCAAACCTAAGTACTCGTTAAACTAATTCTATTTAAATAGGGAATAAATGTGTTATTTTTAAGGAGGCATTTTAGTTTAAATCCAATCAGGCAGATGGAAATTTGCTTAGTCTACAGGTTTGCTGTGGCGGGGGTATTTTTTGTTTTATACAGTATTGTGTTTTTGCTTACTGTGATATTTATAATGAGTTGCAGGTTAAGATTCCTGGCAAAATTTAAATTGTGAAAGCAAAACATATAAATTTTATACGAATCTAATATAAACTATTGTTTGCATCATTGTATTGGTATAGTACGGTATTTTCATACACCCATCAGTGCCTCATATAATTCATACTTGACAGCCTTATAAGTTAGTTTATATTTAAAGAAAGATATTTTTCAAACTAAGAGGTCCAATTAAATTTTGTTTCTGAAACCAAATGCGAATGTCTTAACTTCAACAGATTTACTATAAAAAAACTCGCTGAAAGCCCAATACATGTTTACAGTGATACAGTGAGTGTTTCAGGGCCACAAAAAGCGAGACCGGCTGATCCGACTTGAAATCGTAATCGCAAACACAAGAGGAGGGAAAGGCTAGAAAGTGGAGAGTTGTCCTGGATATCGGCTGGAAGATACAGTGGCGCTAGTGTAGAGCCTTGACAGTGACTTTGCGCGCAACGGCACCGCGCACACAACGTCAGCTGATAACAGCGGTATCAGTCAGTGCTGCCAACATAGCGGCGACACACGCTACCAACCAACCACCACACACTCAGTCATGTTCACACCCTTAGAGAAGGTCGGCGTCGTCTGCCTCTCCATCCTCGGCTTCCAGATAGCCCGAGCAGTCATCAAGAGGGTGTACAACGCCTTTCTCGCTCCAGCATTCAGCCTAAATGTCAACTTCAAGGAGATGGGGCAGTGGGCAGGTAAGCTGTTAGGGGTATTGATTTTCTCCACGCTACTTCATGCTGATGATAGGCCTACTCTGTTGGTTGTGCATTAAAACCTGTTGTTGCAATTATGTTGTAAAGGTAGGGAACAAGTTTCATGCAAGCAATGTTCTGTTTATTAAGCACATAATTCGAGATAATTTCTAAAAAAAAAATGTTTTTGTGATGGTTACTCTCCAAACAAGTAACAGGTTAGGTTAGTTAGCAATGCTAACTTGTTTATCAGCATTATCTTGTATAATGGTTAAAAATTGAACTCGTCTAACAAAATGACAGGGCAAATTATAATGCATTTGATGTTTTCTATTATTTCATTATTACAACGCAAGTCATCATGTTCACAAGTTTAGTTGGCGAGTCAATACAATGAATAAGTAACCTGCCCTAGGTATAATATAATATTATAATATATATTTATATATATTAATTTAGGTGTTCAGGTGATATAGGGCTGCTGAAATATTAAATTATAGTAGTAAATGAAGTACAACTGAGCACCCTGAATATTATATATTTTTTAGTAGAAGTTAATAATATACCTTTAATATCAATAGACAAATAAACCATAGTAGGTACTATTTCTTAAAAAAAAATAAAAAAAAGTTTTCTATTTGCAGTATATTAATTAACCTACATATAAACAATGTCCAATATATATAATATAAATCCCCCTAGAACCTGCCCGTTACGTTGGGTAGCATTTTGAAAGTTCACAATCTTTTACTAGTTACATGAATACTGCCGCCGCATGCAAGTTAGACAAGAAGACAGTCAAATTAAAATTCATAAACATTAATATTTATCATGATGAAGTTTACATCAAAATGATCAGCATGATTATATTCATTGAGTCTTTATATGAAAAACATGAAGAATTATAGCGTTTAAAACACAGGTTTATGTAGGTATGCTTTAAAAAGCTTTTAATAAATATTTCGCAATTATAAATACACCATAAATAGTTCCAGTCAAAAAAAAAAAAAAAAAAAATATTATGTATTTTTTAAATTTTATGATTTAAATTAGGTGTGATCCCAAAATAATTTTTAATGCCCAAAATAATCTTGTATGTTCAAATATTGATTCAAATAAATGGCTTACAGTATTATGTTGAAGGTTGATTCATCTCCGATTAAAATAAATCATTCTACATTACGATACATCTGCCTAAAAACAGCAACGCAAAATCGAGCCTCTACAGCACTTATTGCAGTTTTATGCTAAACTGAAATTACAAGTACAGTATGTTCGTTTATATTTTAAACGTAACCAGCGTTATGAGCATTTATTTTTATTGTTTGTGCTAAATGAATTCCCATCTCTCGCTGTGTAGGTAGTAACCAAGTGTGTTGTACTATAATTGCAGCAATATTGTTGAACAGATGTGCACCGATGGCGAGAAATCCGTTAGAAATGTGCTAGCAATGTGTTCTATTTATAAAATTGCTGACCGAAGACAGCCAAAATGGAACGTGCTTTCTGTGCCGTGTACGCCAGCCGTCGTACCTCGAACTCTCTCCATGGAATGAAGGATAACCCGACAAGGAAACCTACTAAACACCTTATTTCATTAATTTTTATGTTGTTAATCGTGAATTTGTTTAATAAAATATATGGATCCTCTTTATGCGGCATAAAACAATTTTATGTTTACGCGTATCACTGTAAATAGACTTGGCGCTTGGCGCAAAACATTAGTGGGGATTGTGCTTAAATTATTGAAGGCTATATTTATACATAAATGATATTGTCCTTAAGTGAGTCAATCTGACTAGAGAAGTATGTGTGAACGCAAATATATTGTGGTTAGCGAATTATATATTACGTGATTTTTCTAGCTTAGTATGTTTTTGTGCTTTTGAACATACAATTTAACAAAGTAAATATTCCTATAAAAGATTCACATTGTAAGCAGTATGTTCAGTTTTCTTTATGAAAGCCTCTGAATGAATCAATCTTCAAACTAAATAACAATACAACGGGCCTAAGCTATGATTATAGGAGTGATGTTGACGTAATAGATACCGCGCAGACAATCATCACGCACGAGTTGCGGATTAGGACAACAGTTACTCCAGCTGCTCGCTGAGTTACTCGTATAGAACATTTATTTATGTTTATTTATGTCAATCATTCCACCTCTTTTTTTAGGTCAATTAATTTTGTAATTGTTAAAATATTTTTAATTATTTCAAACTATTAATCTAGCATAGAAACCCGCGTTGCCCGGGTCAAAATATAAATTAGCTCTTGCATAGAGAGTAGAAATTTCAGTCTGTAGAAAGTAAAAATCAGCTGTAGTAAACACTAACACAGTTGTAAGTTATTGTAAGCAATCCCTTGTAACTAAATTATGTACCGTATCGATTGTTTTAATCGGTTGTTGCTCATTGTTGCCGTATTGCCTTCTTATCAATAGTTCGAAATATAGATAGTATAATATCACTAACACAATTGAAACTAAAATGATCACTAAACATCAGCTGCTTATTTGCATTAGACAAATTAAAAAAAAAAAATAAGTTAGAGTCAATTTGATAGGTTATCTTGACATGAAAAGTATTTTCGTTTTGTAACTTATACCTCGGCTTCGCCTCGATCGTAAAACTTGACCTCGGGTCGAAAAGAGTCATTTTACACCCTAGGGATTTATACACTATTAAACAACATATACAGTAGATCCACACTAATCGACCTCTGCTAGTCCGACTCCTCGCTTAATCCGACCGTATCATCGCCTATCGGCGACAATGTCATCGCGGGTGCATAATACTGTATCGCGGGTGACTATTTGCCATAATCGTGTGGAGATTATCAATGTCTCCCTCAATCGTAGCAAACCACTTGTTTAGCGACCGGAAGTATATGCTCCCAGCGAGCAGGCACTTCCCCCAGGCTAGTCGCCACAATCATATACACTTGGACTTGGACTTGTTTATCTCTAGCGGTCACGGGAACATCATCATCGGTTTCTACGATCATGGAAACATTAATCGTCATTCTCCACGATCGTGGCAAGAAAATTGAACGTCTCCCACTTTCATGGAAACAAACATCATCGTCTTCGTGGATAGTGGTAGAATCCTCCGCGGCACGTAGACATCATTACAGTATAGTCTTCCACGATCGCGGCAAAATATTAGACACCTCCCTATAGAGGACATCACCGGCGTCTCCACCATCACTGAAACAACGTCATATCCGATACGCGAGTATTATAATTCGCATATTTGGTACAGGAGTATCCATTCGAAATAGATCTTTTGATATGTATTTACCGTCTAGTGGGTTAACGGTATAAGTGAAAGTATATGTTACAAGTGTTATTAGATGTAGTTTTATTTCATTTCCGTACGCATATTTGAGCTATTCGGCACAAACTCGAACATTTAAATTATTTTATCACAACATATTAACATTGTTAATTGTGATACAAATTCAATAAATTTAAATAAAACACTAAAAAACAACATACGGAACACCTGGTTAGTATTATTTTTAACCGACTTCCCCACTACCAACAAAAGGAGGAGGTTCTCAATTTGTTTGTGGCGATGTTTTTTTTTCTATGTATGTTCACCAATTTCTCTGTGATTCTTTTACCGATCAGTGTGGTTCCACCACCAAAATAACCAGGAGAGTTTCTATTTGGTACCTTATATATTATGTTTAAGTATAATATTTGTTTCGGTGAAAAATTCTGAAAACCTTAAATATTCAACATTTATTTTGTTTACATTTGTGCAGATTGTTTACATTTAAGCAGAGAAGGCAATAAATAATAATAACATTCCTACAGCTGTTAGTTGAAACCATTTAAATGAAGCTACAGACAATTCTTCATGAAACAGTTGCTTCATATTGATCAATAAACTATTTCTTGCCATGGAGCCTAAATGAATTACATTTAGAAAAATGCATTTCGTTTTGGTTACTATAAAAAAATTATTTTAACGTTTGACCTGATTTGTGTATCCAGTAATTCTGTTTTTAGTATTGAATATTCTGACTTACAAAAACATATATGTTTCAGTGAATAGCTGTATGATATTGACAAATAAAGGTGTATTGTGAAAACCAAAGCATTCGTAAAACAGGTCTAAATATAAATTAAATGCAATTATTCCTTACACGACTTAAGAAGTGTGACAGTGCATAATCGTCAATTGTCTTAAAAGTGTTAAATATTTTAATTACTAAACATGCATTTGCAGATGTGGAATGTTTATTGATATTCTCTATCCAGTTACTATATCATATCAATACTATTATGCCTGCTTCGGAAAGTCCTAGCGGAAGATGATTTGCAATTTCGACTAGGCTTTATCTTGATCAAACAAAACCACCTACATGGCTTGCACCACTTTTAGCTGAACCAATTTTTCATATACATATTTCATTTGCAGATGTTGAATGTTTATTAATATTCTCTACCCAGTTACTATAACATATCAATACTATTATGCCTGCTTCGGAAAGTCCTAGAGGAAGATGATTTGCAATTTCGACTAGGCTATATCTTGAGCAAACAAAACCCCCTGTATGGCTTACACCACTTTTAGCTGAACCAATCTTTCATATAATAGTTTCCAAAGGTACTATCCGTGTTAACGACCAATTTTCCACTTTTGAGAGATTTTTTAGCGCTGGTGGCTGAGGAATAACTTTCATATTGTTCCAAAAGGCTTGAGATGTTACTGTATTTCTTTTTATAATGTAGAAGTACACCGATTGTAGGAAACGATGATGTCTGACATTTCAATGTATCTAGAAAAGACAATTAGTTTTTCATTAGGCCTAATGTAATGAACAACTCTTTCTTTCTTAAGGAATATCTAAAAATGTTTATTTTCATACCCATTGATTAAACCTATGTAACCTGTACAGGTGACTCAAGCAGTTTTAAAATAATGATTGTTCTGTGGAACTTTTGATTGTTTCAAAGAGTTTTGCTTATCAAAAAACCTCAAGTAATT